AAAATAAAACCGGTCCGGTTACGGACAAGAAAAAAAATTAACCGTTAGGTCCGGTTTGGTCATGGTTTGGGCTAAAACCGGACCAATCCGGACCGTGAACACCCCTAATTTGGTTAGAGAAGACCTATGAAAGAATAAGGAAAAGATAGGGGACCCGCCTTAATCCGAGTACAGAACCCACCCACATTCCCATTTAGATTAACATAGAAAGAAGTAGAGCAAATGCAAGCAAGCAACTAAGAGACAAAAATATCAGAAAATCCCATTTTTCAGACAGATCTTAGCTAAGATTTTAACATAAAAGATTTTTTTATTTACATAAACTCTCATAAAATCAAAAGAAAGAAAAACGAAAAAGATAAGGAAGATACACGATCAATCACTCTCAATTAAAGCACCAATGATGACGATCGTGTATCGGGACTCGATTTTGTGTAGGAACCCGCTTGGTTCGAACATGATAAAATGTGAAAACCCGCACTGACGACCTTAATTGACACATTAATAAGTGAAAAAACCTGCACTATCGGTCTCGGTTTTATACGAAGAAAGTACTCGGAAACGAGCTTTTTCTTAATCTTTATTTCATAAAACTTCATTCTTTCAATAATGAATACAAAGGTCCTATTTATAATACACAAAAACATCATTTAAATTTAAATATTCAAACCTACAACTAACTAACTAACCTATTTAAAATTTAAAAAGAAACTAATATGATTATCCTATCCATATACTTAACTAACGCAACCACTCCCGCCATCATCCATGCGATTCGATTTCCACTCGAAAGTCTGGTTCGCATCAGAGCACTAGAGCGGTACACAACGAGATAAGCCACGCCGACAATATTATGCACCAGCCAATGACCGAGCTCCCTTGGCGGATTCAGAAGGCGATGATAACAGACTGGGGCATCTGCAGCAAGCGCAGCTAAAGTATTAGCCGAAAAGTTTCCTTCCCGATGAATATGGGACAAACGAACCACCCAGTCCTGCTAGAGTAACTCTCGGATAGGCCGAATAACGTGTTAGTGGAGACCTAAACTCTCCTCAAACCCCCCATAGATACGACACTGTTACTATCCACTTTCACGAGCACCTGTCGCGCGCCAACTCCCAAGCCAAATGAAAACCATGGAAGAGACACCATAGTTCTGCACCCATTATAGTACAATAACCCACATTCCTATATTTTTTTTAAAAGAACTTGCTAAGTGCGAAACAGACATCTTTTAAGAGAGCTTACAAACTCCGAACTCCCAAGCCAAACGAAAACCATGGAAGATAAGACACATTCTATGTTTTTAAAAAGAACTTGCTAAGCGCAGAACAAACATCGTTTAAGAGAGCTTACAAAGTCCTAAAACATACTTTCCCTTCAAAGTCTTTTTTTTTTTTTTTTTTTTTTTGGCTTTATTTTTTTAGCGGATTTAATTTAATTGGCTTCAATTTATTATTAAAGTCAGAAATAGAATCTTAGTTGAGGCCAGATTGCACAGCTTTGCCAAATTAAACCCTCAAAGTATCGATGTAAATTGAGTTAGTTGGTGGTGGCCCATTATCTAATTTGCACATGTCAAACAGCCTTTAAAATTTAAACACAGGAGAAATAAGAAACTGATAACTCTGAATCAATCAGAAACTGAAATCATTGATCAAAGGCAGTGCAAATCCCCTTCTCTCAAAACAGTTAATGACCTAATATGATTACACAGAATTAACTTAAGCCCCTCAACTGACTCATCAATTACAAAAAAAAAGAACCTTAAAGCACATGCTCTCCTCTCAGTAGTCCATGTCACCCATGCCACCACCGCCGCCCATTGGTGGGGCCGCCTTCTCGTCCTTGGACTCCACCACAATTGCTTCTGTAGTTGTCATCAATGACGACACGCTGAAAATTTTAAAAACATAAAGTTCCCAAATTAGCCATCTCGTCTGAATCTCAAGGAACATGAAAGAAACGAAATGAAGTCGTAATGCTTACCTAGCAGCATCGACAAGGGCAGTCCGAATAACCTTCAATGGGTCAATAATTCCAGCTTTCACCATATCAACATATTCACCTGTGCATTCACATGTAGTGCAGATTAGAATCCCAAATCACAAAATTTGATTAACTGCTTTATTATCATCATTTTTCAAGAAATTTTTAACAAAACCCACATATACTAACCTTTAGCAGCGTCATATCCAAGATCAGGGTTGTCCGACTCCAACAACTTGCCCACAACAACAGCACCTTCAACACCGGCATTTGATGCAATAGTGTAAACAGGTGTCTGCATATATAAACAGAACTCTTTAATCAAATTAATAATCTATACAGAATAATGATGTTCAGGGACGTTAAAGAACGTAGTAACATACCTTCAGTGCATTCTGAATAATCTGCACACCAATCTTCTGATCGAAGTTTGCGGTCGGCAACTTATCCAATTCTTTAGAAGCATATAGCAGGGCCACACCTCCACCTGCACAACATTAAATTATATTTATTTATTTACTCTTTTTTTTCTTAAATTTATCTACATATTTATTCATGTAGATAATTATATTATTTACATACCAGGCACAATTCCTTCTTCTACAGCTGCTTTTGTGGCATTTAGAGCATCAGTCACCCGGTCCTTTTTCTCGCCTACCTCAACCTCACTAGCACCTCCAATCTGAAAGAAACAAAACTCATCATATTAAATTTTTTTTATACATAAAAATGTACTGATCTATGCACGTCATCTGATATTTGAGGGTTGATAACATAAAAACAGACCTTCAGGACAGCCACACCGCCAGAAAGTTTAGCGAGCCTTTCTTGCAACTTCTCCTTGTCGTAATCAGAAGTACTCAATTCAATTGCCGACCTAATCTGCATAAGGGGACATGTACAGCAAATAGATGAGACAAGGTTGTAATGGACATTTTAGAGAGAGAGAGAGAGACTATCTTGAAATGAGAGAGCGAGAGAGACTGTTGAAATGAATGGCAACCTGCTCACATCGTTCTTCTATAGATTTCTTCTCACCAGCACCATCAAGTACAACAGTATCATCCTTGGATATAGTAACCTAGAAACAGCAAGAAAAAGTCTAAGTCCTTCTGGTAATGCACAACGAATACACCCAATAGCACATAGAAAATGTTGGATGCAATCTCTTTAAATAACATCTCTTTTTTTTTCCTGCCGAAGCATTGGCAAAGTAAGAATTGAGCAAACCTTTTTGCATGAGCCCAGCATATCCAATTCAATATCTTCAAGATTCATTCCGAGCTCCTCACTTATAACCTGTAAAAATGGAAGAGAAACAAGTATAAAGAATTATGCACGTCTTTTTTAGTTGGGAAAGGTTGAAACGTTTGGAAATGCACTTGCCTGGCCTCCAGTTAAGACAGCAAGATCTTGCAAACTAGATTTCCTGTTTTCACCAAATCCGGGTGCTTTCACAGCACAAACCTGCATTGTAAAATTTAAATGTCAATAGCAACAGTCAAGCCACGGGCCGAGAAATAATGTCACCCAATGAAAAGAAAATACACCAACTTCAGGAAAAATGAGTCAAATACCTTAATTCCAGCTCGAAGTTTGTTAACAATAAGAGTTGCAAGTGCTTCACTTTCAACGTCTTCCGAAACTATCAAAAGAGGCCTTTGCCTCTGCACACATAAAAGACAAATAGGAATCAGTAAAGCAACTAAAGCATGGCGTAAATGAGCTGCTAATTTCAAAACTAAAAGCATTTACTTTAGCCAAGGTCATTAACTTAATGTTATATACCTTCAAAGCTAATTCCAAAACTTTCACAATAGCATGTAAGCTTGATATTTTCTTCTCATGGATTAGAATGAGCGGGTCATCCAATTCCTGCAGACAAAGCGCACAAAGAGAAAAGCAACTAGATCACGCATGCATCAGATACAAGAAACTCGTTGGTAGTATAGATCGATTCAGCCAATTAAGACTTACACATTTCTGATTTTTCTGATTTGT